TACTTAGCACATTGCTAGGGTTTAATGTATGTACACACTTATTCAACAAGTTTGGTGAATCACAGGCACCAGGCACTGTTAGGCAGTGCCTACCTTGTTGGGGGACAACGTTCCATGGGTGTCGCAAATTTCTCACATCTTGTGAGGAGTAAACTGGTTGTTCTGGGCTATCTTTGCAAGGATGTTTGTATAACAAGCAGCTTTGGAAGGTGGAGATTGTGCCTTTCTCCAGAGCAGAGGGGCAGGCATGTTTACCGCCCATCAAAAAGGACTCTGGTTCTCTTAGCTCAGGGCTCTTCTGGAACTCAACGTACCTTGTGGGCAAGCGTCCATCGGGGACCATCCACATTGCCTATGTGGGGCTAGGGGACAAAAAGTGCTGACATAAGTATGCTGATGTTGATGCCCTAGCTGTGAGCAATAAAGCCCTCTGTCCTGTGTCTTCTGTCAGTGTCCATGGAACTGTTACAGGCTTGGCTTTCACAAGCAGGTAGAATCTTAGCACCCTCATAGTTCTGGACCAACTTATATCCTCATTGAATTTCATATTCAAAATACCCTAAAATTAAAATACTTTTATCTTCGTTTTGTGGATTAGAACTGAAGAAGAGAAGTTAGTTCTTCCTAGGTCACAGAGCTAGTTCATGCTAGAGGGGAAATTTCTGTTCAACTCTGTCCACTTCCAGAACCACATCTTTCCATAACATGTTGGCTTGATTGCAGATATGAAAGTGCCTGTAGTTCTATGTGTGGCCAACCCTTTGGCCCCTAAATCACCTCTGCTGCTATAATGATAAAAAGCTCAAGCAAGGAGTGGAAAACAATTGAGCAGCATCTCCTCCAAAGGAACATAAACAAGATATCATCAGGAGTGGCTTCCACTGAAGAAGTTCTTCTCTGATATTTACATAACAGTTGTCTCTAAGCTCGACCTACTACCCTTTCTTCTGGTGAAGCGGATGAGATCCATTTCCCCACAGGCAGGATGGGCTGAGTCATGTGAATTTCAGACAAAACAATGTGTAGCTGGAGTAATGGGCATGCTCCAGGATGACAGATGTCTCCAGCCCCTTGGCAGGGTCCAAACCTTGATAAGCCTGTAGAAGCCCTCTGGTATATTCCACAGTGCATTTTCATCTGTGCCCTGTTTAATCTGATCATTGCCTTATTCTTATGATAGTGACCTGTTTCTCCAGTGGCTCCATATGGTCTGTGGCACAAAGCCCCATTTCTTAGCCTGGGGCCCAAGATCCTCTGCAGTCCAGCCCTAATCTACAGTGTGGCCAAACCAAGCTTCCCTTCCTGTCTGAAGCCATCCTAATCCATCCCTTAGCTTAGGTGGACCTGGCCTCTCCTTCCATGGTGTCCACAGTTATCAGTATTCCTTCCCTCACAGCATCTGTCACACTTTAGGGCTATATACATTGACATGTTCATCTCCACCAAGCCATGAGCCCTTGAGGCCAGGCCTGCTATATCTAGCTACGCCACCCATGTTTGTGGATTGTAGCTACATACACACACACACACACACACACACACTCTCTCTCTCTCTCTCAGTTTGAAATTTCATCATTAAATACTCTTATTTGGGGGTTAAACACTATTTAAAAGCACACATCATCCCAGGAGTAGTACGGATGTTTTGACAGGATGTAACCTACCTGATCATTTTCCTCTTTGATGAGAATGACCTGGGTGGCAAGATTCATGGGTGCTAGCACATGAATGAGGTGTGCTCAACCTGAAAGCGCTTGCTATCTTTATCTTGCTAATCATCTTGCAGAGGGCTAACGGTTCAAGATTCCCCTTGGTCACTGACTCCCACCACTGCGAGCTGTCTCTGTCCCAGGCCAGCCCTCGCCAGGGCTGGGGATGTTGGCGTAAGAGTCCAGGTCATTGCTGGCAGAGGCCTGGCCTGGGTGCTCTGACCCTGGCACTGGGTCATTTCAGGGTCCCTGAGTCCTGCTGCCACCTGCTCTGTTCCCATGAAGAGCTCTTGCTGTCACCTCAGCCTGCAGAAGGAAAGCCTCCTCTCTCCAGCCTGCTGGTCAGACCAGCCTGGGTTCAAATGCTCCCGTGGCCATTAGAAGCTGTGTGACCTCCAGCCATCAGTCCAAGCTTTCTCAGCCTCAGTTGCTACAGGGCTGATTGGTGGATGAGGCCACTGGCCTGCAGGCTGTGGTGAGGATAAGAGGAGCATATGCAAAGCAGCTGGCATTGCACACAGTGTGCTAGCTCCCCTTCCCTCTTCTTCCAGCCCCCCTCTCCACTGCCTGCCTTTCCTCTCCACCTCCCTCCTTCCTCCGTAACAGCTTTTGGAGACGTGGCGCATGTATATTTGTGCACATTTGCCCCCATCCACATTTGTGGCAGACAATGCTACGTGGTGACTCTATGCATCGTTCGTTGGGGGAGGGATCAAATATAAAGAAAGTGTGCTCCCTTACCAGATGGAGCACCATTTATTTGCATACCAGTGTGCACTAGATGCCTGTGGGAATGTGTGCATGCGTGTGCTCACTGACGTGGTGCTCTTGCCTCTGCAGTTAGCCTGTGACAGCTCCCTCCTCCTGGGGGCATCTGGATAGGCCACCTTGAATGAGCCAGCCTGGCAGCATCCATGTCACCCCTGTGTCCGATTCCGGCTGGGCCTGAGGGCTGGGAGTAGGCTGTGCTTCGGTACAGTTTTCCAGGACATTGGGTGGGGGAAGGAGGGGCCAGTTCTCAGAGAACAGCCAGTACAGGTGGTCTGGGGCCTCTGCGGAGGGAGTGGGGAGGAGCCACCAGCATCTTTTTCCAGTACAGACACCTGTGGTGGCATCAGGAGTCCAAGGTACCCTGGGTTCATCCTTCCCTGAAGACTTTTTAAAGCAAGACATGCCTGTGTGTGGGTTCTGGGTGCCTCCTCTCTGCCCACTGGGCAGTGATCTGTGTTTACAATCCTTGAAGATGAGGCCATATGCCCACATTTTCTCAAAACCCCAAAGTGATGTCACAACAGGAAGGGATGTTGGTAGTTGTTTAGTTCAGTGTTTCCCAAATGTGTTCCGGTGACTCTTGGCCTACAAGTTTGTAAAAGGTGTTCTGGGAAGAAATGGGGTCTCTGGAAAAATACATTTGAGGAATGCTGCATTCATCCTCCTACCCCCAACACTCCAAGAGTCACTGCACACATTGGAATACTAAGGATGGCTGGAAGCCTCGCACAGCTTTAACTTTGCTTAACACGTCATTTACACATTTATTGGCACAAGGAACACCCTTTTTGTTTGGGCTGTTTATCACCATTTTGCCAGGCTGGTATTTTATAGATCACAGTTTGGGACATACAGATGTAACTAAACCCTTGATTTTATAGATGAAAAGTGGTGGGCCAGCAAACTCGGATTACTCAGGGGAAGGTTTCACCTTTTGATTATCATCAGCTTCTTTTCTATTTCTTCCCCCACACCCATGACAACCCTATAACTTCCAGCTATTTTGCTTGGTGGCCATTCCTGGAAGAACTTGGATCCTACTATTCCCATAGGGAGAATGATGGGGGACCTTTTTGCTGACTCCCAGGTGTAGATGTTGCAGCCTCAAAAAACCCGAGTCACAGGGACTTCCTTGCAGCCTGGGCTGCAGTCTTAAACCTGGAAATGCTGGTTTCTGAGTGACTGTGGAGCTGCTGGGAGTCTTACAAAGACCCTTACAAAAAAGGATGGTTACTAAGTTTATCTTCTCTCCCTGTTATTCATTTTAAATGACAGCTATTTCTCTTCAGGAAATCTTAAGAAGTGGTGCAATGAGGAACTTTCATCAACCAATACATATGTACTGCATATCTAGTGCCAATTATTGACACTGGAAGACTGCACTGAGAACCTGACACATTTGTTCCTGCCATCAACCCTAAGACTTGGTACCATATGGGTTCAGAATGAGTCCCTCAGTTTGGGCCACTTTGGCATGCAGATTATTTTGAGATGGAAACAATCAAGGCCCAAAAGGCTCAGGAAGAAACTCTGACCTTCCCCTTAACTGCCTAAAAGAATTGAGACAGAGGACCTACTCCAGGAAGGGAACTATCGCCATAGGTAACTACATTATAATATAACCAGAGGAGGTGGGCAGGGAGGAGGTTAGCAAAGTCTGTGTTACAATTCCTCTCTGTGTCCCATTGTTCCTGAGGGGTCCAGCAAACATTTATTTACCAAGCATTTACTCTTTTTTACATTCCTGTGAATGGACCTTCCTTCCCTTCAAAGTCCCAGACCTCTACCCTCTTCTCCTTAGTCAGGATGACCTATATACCTCATTTTGCCTGACTGTTTTTGGAATCCCGTGTTTATGTGGATTCCCAGGACTTAGGAAATTAGGTTTGATTTTTCCAATCTGTTTCATGTCAACTTGATTCTTAGACCAGCTGGAAGGATCTTGAAGAGTAGAATAAAATGTTTCCTCCTCACTACCATGGAATCATGTCTACCTGAGGAATGAGAACACTGAAGCCAGAAAGGTCAAGCAAGTTGCCCAAGATCCTAGGACAGGGAAAGGGGGATCCGGGGCCCAAACCCAGAGGGATGGCACTCTGCAGTCTGTGCTCTAGCAACTGTTATTATGGGAAAGATTGGTTCACTCATAGTTATTTAACAGGTGTAATTTTTCTAATATTGTGCATTAAAAAAAAAAAATAAATGCTTCAGCCAGTGCCCAGGCAGCTGGGGCGGCCTATTATTTCTAGAGGAACATTCCGCTCTTACATTTGTTTTATGAAGCTGGTGCCTGCACAGGGGAAAAAAGAAATCTGGTCACTGGTCCCTCCTTCCCTCAGGGGCCCAGGAGCCCTCTGCAATGTCTATGCTGAGGACAGGCCAATGGGGCTGGAAGTGGATGGTCCCAGCCCCACACATGCAGACTGTAGCAGAGAACACGAAGTCGTACCAGTGAAACGCAAGGCCTGGGTGGTGGTTATCTTTCTGTAGACAATTACAGTAATGTTGTTTGACTCTGAATGCTTGGTTACATTTCAAATTTATTTCCAATCATTTAGAGCTGGATCAATGGGAGACAAAGGTGCCTTTTAGCTCTGGCACCTTCTGTTCCCCCCAAATGTCAAGGACTGACATTTGATGCCATTATCCCCAGTCAGCTTACAGAGGACTCACTTCCTTGCTTCCCCAGGCCTCAGGCCCACCCACCCAGCAAGGACTTTCACACCATGCTGATGACAAACTGCACTGTCCAGGAGAACTCAGACTTTCTTCCTCTGGCAGATCAAAGGCGGGCCTGCTGGGTGGCCACTGCATCCCCTGGTGCCTGGGACAGGCCTCTCGTGGCTCAGTTCCTCCTTCTTCCCTCTCTCTCCCCAGGCTGGCACCTATTGTTTCCAGGCCAGGTGCGTATTTTGGGATGAGGTGGGTGCTCTCATGGTCTGCCTGGTGGTGCAGATAGCAGGGTGGGGGTGTGGGATGCATCTTCTCTTATGGAGTTGAAGGAGGCATTGGGGGAGGTGAGGCCTGGTGCCCCTCAGATAAAGTACTCCTTTCTGCTGTTGTCACCTGTGTCCTGGAGTGAGGGGTCATCCTGCAGGGCTGCGTCCGCGCTTTCAGCAAACTCTGTACCCTTGGCCTCATTGGTGTGGTATGTGCCCTTGTGTCGGTACATGTAGCGTAGCATGACGATGAGGAGGCAGATCAGGACGACGGCTATAGCGGCGATCACACCTGCAGGAGGGAAGCAATGCATGGCTCAGTCTGGGGCAGGCATCTGGGACTGAAGGCAGGCGTCAGGACGCACAGGGCTTGCGTCAGGACAGACACTCTGCTACAACAAACACCAACCCCAGACAGGCTGGCCCATTCCTGCCTAGTGTGTGCTCACCCTTATCTGTACCCATCTGAGTTACCTCTCTCACCCCTCCTGTTCCCCTTCCCTCCACTCAGAGTGCTGCAGACTGAGGCTGGAATAGGATCCCAGAAGTGACCCTCACTCAGGGGCGCTCAATCTACCGAGGAAGGCAGACCTCGGCGCATGACTTGCAGAATGAACTACATGGGTTTCCCTAAAACTGAAGGGTTCATGGGCCTCAGGACTTTCAGTTTTAAAACCAGAATAATCCCAACTGAGAAGTTTCCTGGGGCACAAGACTTGGTAGTAAAACCAGGAAAGTGCCCAGAAGGCTGGGCCCTGGTGGCTGCCCCCTGTGCACTACTGGGGAACAAGACAGGGCCATGGGAAAACCTTGAGACAGGTTGGGTGGAGTGTGGTTCACTGCTCATCACCCCACCTTAGCTCCAGCATGCTCTCCCGAGGTGAGGGCTGCATGAACCTGGCAGGGGAGCAGGGATCAGCCAAGCAAACGACTGAAGAGGGAGAGGATTCTGGAGGACGCCATGCAAAGGCATGGGGTGTGGGCAGAAGTCAGTCCCTCATTTCTGTCTGGACTCATGAGGAGTTGGGAGAAGAAGCTTGAAGTCTGAGCAATAGAGCCCAGGTCACTCAGACCCTGGGAGTGATGGTGGGTTCTCTCTCCCCTGGGCATTTCCTCTGACCCTCCTGGCTTGGAGGCCCAGGACAGCTCACCTGCAATGATGGCGATGTTCGCCCCCAACGAGAGGAAAAATGGGCCAGGGTCCAGTTCTGTGAACAGAAGAGAAGAGCCTTAGTGGGGAGAGAAAGTCTTCCCTTACTCAGCAGCACCCCGGCTGTGCCTGCACCCCCTGCTCACAGGCGCACAGCTCTTGAATGGGCTGAGTGGACAGGAGGGTGTGCCTGGACAGGCTTCTGGCTCTGCCTGGCCACTGGCAGGTCTGCGGAGAACGTGTGAACCAGGGTGGAGGCAGCCCCAGTTTTGGCGTCTCTGCAACCATGCGAGTGGGATGAGGGATGGGCTCCTGCACTGGGCAGACACTGGGTAGACAGGCTCGGTGGTGGGCATGAAAGTGGGCAGTAATATGCCTGGTGCCAGCACCACCTGCCTTTGGACCTCAGCTTTTCTCACCATAATGGTAAAAACAGACCATCTGTGAAGTGTCCCCACATGTGGAGGGTCTGTACATGCCAGGTGTTGGTTTAGTTGCCTTTGACCCGTCACATTATATGGTCTTTGATACCCCGTTCCATGAGGTGTGTGGTGTTACTAGCTCATTTCACAAGTGCGACACTGAGTGTCAGAGAGTGACATGCCCAGGATCACACAGCTCGCTCAATGGTGGGCCCAGACTTAGCTCAGACTCTCACCTCTGGGGTGCACTTTCTCTTTTCTCCCTTGAAGATGCCCCTCCCAGGAGGGCTCCTGTCTGGAGGCTCCTCCCCAGAGTCCCTCTGGGGTCTCTGATCAGCTTTTCTGTGGGAAGGGCCGCCCTCGGGCGCTACGAATTTACTGAGCGCATTTCTCCAAAGTGCTATGGTCTGGCCACAGGGCTAGCATCTCAAGGACAGCAGGAACCTGCACATCACCTCCAGCGGCTGCACAGAGTGCCTCCTCTCTCCTCTGGGAGACGAGTGAGAGGAAGGATTTATTAGACCACAGAAATATCAGTGTTAACATGGAAATCCCATGTTCCCATTACAACAGCTATGCACATTAAAACAGAGAAGGCTACTTCATTATAGTCCTTTCCGCTCAGATAATCACTTTAATTATGGTGAGATGAGGTCATTCTCCCCAGCGGCAGCTTCCAGATTCCTTTTTCTGATAAGAAACCAGTGGCGGTGCCAAGAAGGACAGTGTGGGGAGCCAAGCAAAGGCTCCAGGCTGGAGGCAGAGGAGGAGAAGAACCAGCCCAGAGCCTGGAGGTGGGGAAGAGGTTAAAAGAAGTCCTCAGGCCCACAAAGAGACTGAGCGGGCACATAGCAGGAGTCAGGGCAAGGGCGGGAGGGGAAGGCAGTAGGAGCAGTGGGGTCAGCTTCTAAGTGCTTCACCACAGTGAGAACGGAGGCTGGTGGGGCAGGAAGTTCAAGTGGCATCGGACTCCAGGGTGGACAAGAGTGACCTAGAATTTGGCACCTGCTCCACAGTAGGTACTCGATAAACATTTACTTAATAATACTGCGTAAATAAATGCATGTATGTGTGTATACATGCCTACATGAGTGGATTCAGACACTGGCATTATAGACCTTATTCAATCACGAAGCACAGAATGCTTCAGTAAGAATGAAGAGTGGCCCCTTCCTTAAGTCCACGTGGATGGTCACAGAAGTTCAAATATCCCGGATTGCCACTTGGAATATTCCAGGTGAAGACCAGCATTTCTTATGCCAGTTAGTCCAACCCAGTCAGGGTTAGAAGGGACTGCTGTTTCCTTTTCTTTTAAAAATGATTCACAGTTGTGTACTATGTGCTGGTACCATCCTCAGCATTTACCAGGTTTTAACTCATGTAGCCCTCAGGGCGGTCCCATTTGGAAGCAGTGATTATTATTCCCATCGTACAGATTTGGAAGCTGACTCCCATTCGGAAGCAGTGATTATTATTATTCCCAACATACAGATTTGGAAGCTGAGTCCAAGAAAAGTGTTACTGTTTTCCCTGGATCATATAGCTAAAAGAGAGTCAGGAGTCCACCAACTCAGGCGGAGGCCACCTGGAGTCAGTGTGCTTAACCATTTGGGCACTGCCCAGTGGGGAGTCTGTGTTGGCTGCTTAAGAACTAGATGAGGTATTTGGCTTGAGCCCCTTGTGGTGAATTTCTAGCTTGTGTTTGGGACCCTGTACCCAAACCTATATACTGGAACACTGGAAGCCCTCCTGGCAGGCCAGTGGACTACAGAGCAGGAGGGATCTCTGGCCTCTGAGGGGTCACCAGTTGAGCCCCTAGCAGCGTTCCCTCTGAACTCACACACATTCAGGAGCACGGAGGGCAGGGACACCTGATATCCATGCCCCACCCCTCCAGGTGTGTGGAGCTGAATTGGCACACTGTGATTGCCCCCAGGGTGGTGACACTTCAGCATGATGGGAACGGTCACAGAGGTCAGAATCGGCACAGAGGAGGAAGCTCAGGCCTGTCTGGGAACATAGGGATGGCATAAGAAGTGAGATTGGATAGGCATGGGAGGCCTCAACCCTTCTGTAGAGATCCAAGGTAGCCTGTGATTTTCCTTCTTGGATCGCCTCAAGATTGCAATACCCCCACCACAGAGAAAGCTCTACAAGCTCCAGAACCATGTTTGCCCTGGTCACAGCTCTATGCCCAGCATTCGACTATGCACCTGGCACCTAAGAACAGTTGTTGAATAGTATCTGAAAACCTGGTCCCTTTGGGGGAACTGAGAATCAAACTGCACTTTGCACTGTCCACCTCGTGAAGACAGCTTTTGGTTCAAGTCTTGGCGTGAAATTGCACAGCAGTGTATTCAGCAAAATATTTAATATTGACTGGCTTTACTTTCTTTGTATGTAAAACAAGATTAACAATATCCTCCCTGTGGTAGGGATTAGAAATGACATACCCACACATGATAGATATTTTATATATGTTATGGAGACAATACCTACATGGCACATAGCTCAGAATAGGTGTTTACTGAGTTGTTGCCACTATTTTTTTTTTTTTTTTTTTAAGAAAGGCAGACTGCCGCATATGGCATCTCATTTGGATGTAGCTGGAGTCTTGGAAGCTTGACCACTCCACGTTCTCCTAAAAATGGTCCTAAGTACTAGCAGGGGAATGCAGCTACTCATATACCCTTGACCAAAGAACAGTCCTCCTCTATCAGGGAAGGCTGTTCTCTTCTGCTGAGGGCGCGGCTTTGGGAGGGATGCACATGGAGCTGTGAGGGAAGAAGGGGACACCCGCCTTGATAGCCAGATCCGCCGAATCAACCCTGGCGATCAGTGGGGTGACAGATGTCACAGCCAGATCGCCCTCACATCCTGTCACCACTAGTTTGATCTCATTCTTATTATTACTCTGGTTTGCACATAATTCAGTGCCAGCCACCTAAACGACCCGCTAACAGATGTTGTGAGTCCAGGCAGAGGATGGACGCTGGTCATGGATTCCCAGCACAGTCTTGGCGGACAGTAAATCAACATCTGGGTGCTGAGTGTCTCTGAGTTCCCAGCATTACCACAGGAATGGAGGAAGTTCCAGGAAACAGAGAATGAGTCTCTAACCTCAGGGGGCTTATGGTTTCCCTGGGAGATGTGACTGTGACATACAACTTATTTAGGGCAGTGTTTGTCAAAAGTAAATCCCAACCCACTGGTGGGTCCTAACTAGGGGGGAGGGAGAGGGAGAGAGAGGTGTTCAGAAACCATCAGGCCCTATCAAAGGCAGCCAGGGTAAATACTGTTTGGTGGGGCTTTGATTTCATTTGCGCACACACACCAAAAGCATTTACCATACTGTTTGGAGGACATGGCTTAAACCACAGCACCATAAGAGGGAATAAAACAAATCCCTCGTCCTTCAGGGTTGAGTTCAAGGGAGCAGGCAGATAGCCAAGAAAGCACGGCTTCACTCTGACAAAAGCTGGTATGAGTCATGGCGGTAAGACGGCCATGTTGTGTGACAGCTCTGAGCTCCTGAACCCTCACCACAAGGCTAGGGCCTGGGCCATGGGCCAGCTGCAGGGATAACAGATGCTTCCTGTGAGCTGAGCTGAGCTGATGACTCTCCAGAGGGAGAGGAAAGGGAAGGGCTGTTACCGCCCCAAACTCCTGTTCAGGGAAACTGCCCTCCCACAGGGGCAGGGGTGGGATGGTGGGTGGGAGGAACGCTCCCTGATTCTGGAGATGAGGCCACATAGCCTGGGGGTTCAGCCTTGTGAGCCTCTGGAGGAGGAGAAGCACTCTCCAGGTTCTCTGTGCATTTACTAGGCACAGGCACCAGGCAAAGTTTCTGTGGAAGCTCCCTCATTAATCCTGCAGCAAGCCTGCAAAAGGGAAGTTTCTTCCTTCCTTTAAGTTACAGATAAAGCAATGCATGCCCAAAGAGGTCAAATAATGTGTCAAATTCTCACCGCCAAAAAAAGGCAGAACTTGTGTTCAAACCAAGGATAACTTAGCACCAGAGTGTGTGCCCTCCAAAGTGCTGGGACTGGCTTTTCTCCTGTGCAGTCTGCAACCTGGCTGTGGCTACACACCTGCTGATTCTACATACGGTCCACAGGGTGGCCGGCCATCTGTCCTCCAGTCACAGGCAGCAGGGCACGCAAGTGCTGCCCCTCATTGAAGGCGACATTCCCAGTTCCAGCTGGCAGTTTGGGCACAACCAACAGGACGCAGGACTTTAGCAGCAGCTGGACCCTGGGGGTTCTCAGATGTTGACAGAGAGCAGTGGTCAGGCACTGGCCCCAAAGACACAGGTTGACCCTCTGTGGCCACCAAGAACCTCCCTTCTTCTGTATTTTCTGATGAAGCTGTGTCAGGAGTTCTCTTCTCCCCTGCAAGGTTTTGTTGTCTTTACACCTCTTGCCCACCTCTACTGGTTTTTCCTTGTGCCTCGGGAGTTATGGAGGAAGAGCCTGTTCCCTGCTTCCCACGTCCACCTGGGCCAGCAAAGGGGCAAGAATTCCAGCCAGGGCAGAGGCCTCTGGGGGATTGAGTTCCTTTGAGTCAAGCGGGAGCATGGCTTTGAATCAGGAGGCCGAAGTGTTGTGGGAAGAGGAAGATTATTTCAGCTTTAAAA